GACCCTCTGCGGGGATCGTGCGTGTCGAGTGCTCAAACGTGTGGTGAAACGCTCGTTTTGGAGATTTGGAGGAAGTTTCGTACGAGACGCTGTTTTTGGAGACTTGGCACTTCATTTTTGGAGGAAGTGTCGTACGAAGCGCTGGTTTTGGAGACTTGGTGCTGCACTTTTGGACGAGGTCTCGTACGAAACGCTCGGCGCTTCACTTAATTGGAGGCAGTCTCGTATGAGACGCTGGCTTTGGAGACTTGGCGCTTCACTTTTGGAGGAGGTCTCGTACGAAGCGCTCGTTTTGGAGACTTGGCGCTTCACTTTCAGCTTCACCAATTTAAAAAACACCCCCGTCCGAAGCCCTAAAGTGGGTTTATTTTTGTTTTTAAATTACCGCCCTTTCAAGCCGCTACTAAACTACCAACATGGTCGATTTGGGGGGTAATTTCTTTTATTCAGTTCCAAAAACAACCGTAACTGCCCACATCTGTCCGCCCTGACACCATGACACGCCGCGTTTACACCAGCAGGTTTTCCTTCCTCCAATGGCACGGACTCACGCAAACGCACTTGCCACCGAGGTCGGGCAAAAAACCGCATGGCGCAGCGACATCACCTTTCGAAAGCTTTGGTTGTTAGTCTAATGAAGGATCAGTATTCTAATAAAGGTGTTTGTAGGGGGAAAGGAAGACCCTTCGATCTGGAGGTTTTTTAATGTTTGATACGAGTTAAAAGAAAGATATATAAGTTTTTCTGGATGACTTTTTGGTTTTGAAGCTCTTCCCAGGTGACCCTATTTTGGACCCCCCCCAATTTCAGGGACCTCCTATTAAAAAACGTGCGACCGAGCTTCTCTTAATGGGGGGGACCGCATGTTTTTTAATAGGTGGACAGGATTACAAATAAAGTACGGGAAAGAGCTTTTCGGATCTGGACTCAGAATTGGCCGCGCGGGACCGTGTGGGCAGACCATTTGGCGAAATTACGTTCGTGATGTCGCAGTGCCATGCGGATTTGCGCGGCCTTGGTGGAAGGTGCGTTTGCGTGGCGCCGTGCCACTGGGGAGCGCGAAACATGCTGGTGAAAACGCGGCGTGTCGCTGGTGAGCGGGAGGCGGTATCGTGTGATAGGATTGCTTCTAGTGTGTGGGCAGACCGTGTGGCGAATTACGTCCGTGATGTCGCTGTGCCATGCGGATTTGCGCGGCCTTGGTGGAAAGCGCGTTTGCGTGGCACCGTGCCAGTGGGGAGCGCGAAGCATGCTGGCGTAAACGCGGCGTGTCGGTATCGTGTGATATGTTTGCTTCATATATAGTGTGGGGCGGACCGTGTGGCGAAATTCCGTTCGTGATGTCGCAGCGCCATGCGGATTTGCGAGGTCTTGGTGGGAAGTGCGTTTGCGTGGCGCCGTGCCACTGGTGCTGGTGTAAACGCGGCGTGTCGCTGGTGAGCGGGATGATTGGTGGTATCGTGTGACACGATTGCTTGTAGTGTGTGCGCAGACCGTGTGGCGAAATTACGTTCGTGATGTCGCAGTGCCATGTGGATTTGCACGGCCTTGGTGGAAAGTGCGTTTGCGTGGCGCCGTGCCTCTGCGCAGCGCGAAACATATAATGCGTGTCGCTGGTAAGCCGGATGATTGGCGGTATCGTGTGATATGATTGCTTTTAGTGTGTGGGCAGACCGTGTGGCGAAATTACGTTCGTGATGTCGCAGTGCCATGCGGATTTGCACGGCCTTGGTGGAAAGTGCGTTTGTGTGGCGCCGTGCCGCTGCAAACATGCTGGTGTAAACGCGGCTGGTCGCTGGTGAGCGGGAGGATAGGCGGTATATCGCGCGATAGGATTGCTTCTATATGCAGAGCGCGTGGCGAATTACGTTCGTGATGTCGCAGTGCCATGCGGATTTGCGCGGCCTTGGTGGAAAGCGCGTTTGTGTGGCTGGTTCCAACCTTTGTGATACATTGCTACCCCAAAAACATGTTACCATACATGTTACCGACAAACGGTTCACCCCTCAGTTTCGTTTTCGTTTGGAACCCATTTCGTTATATTGCTTACTCCTACTTTGCTTCTGGGCCACCCTGTCGTCTAGTTTTGGGCATATGTTAGTCTAGTTTCGGAGCGGACACCGTTGAGACTAACCTAGACCAAATTCAGATGTGCCATGGTGGGCCGTACGGGTATTTGGCATGGTCTATGTTAGCATCGACCGGGCTATGTTGACCTCTACCAGCGTGGTGTTAGCCTGCGTTCTGTGTATAGTCACTCATAGACTGAGAGTAGGAATGGCCCATGTTAGTGAGCGTCCAGAAACTGACCAAAAAACGCTAGTACCGTTTCCCCAGGAAGTCACCGTTTCCAGTAGTCCATGTTAAAGCGCACTTGCGTTTGAGTTCTGGTCTATGTTGTTTTTCCCCGGAGTAACTGTTGGATTCTCCCCTAGGAAAATAAAAGAGCTGGCCAGAGTGGCTGGCGGCGCCTCTGAACGCTGTGTCTGGGTTTGTTCTCCTCTTGTCCTCCTGGTGCTTGCAGTTGTCCTGCTGTCCTCTGCCAGCCCTGTGTCCTCCTTTTGCCCTCCTCTTCTTGTCCTCCTGTTGTCCTTCTGCTGGTGTCCAGACGGCAGCTTGGCAGCGTGTAGACGTGACACCATGACAGCGCGCGCGCGCGAAGCAAAGGGTCCAACGCAAGAAAGCAACTTCACACCCGTAGGCCTTGTGTGGCGCCCAGAAGCCGATGTCCTCTCCTTGTCCTCGCGTTGTCCTTTTCTTGCGGGGTTCTCTGGTGGGAAAAGAGAAGCTGGCCACACCGAGCTCGCGAGACCTGTCCGGACGCCGAGGCTGCCAGCCTATCTCCGTTGTACTCCTCCCGCTCCCATCGTTGTCTTGTCTTTCTCTTGTCCTCTCCCTCTTCTCCTTTTGTTTTCCTCTTGGCGTGTTCCTCCTCATATTGCCCTTTTGGTGTTGTCCTGTCATAGCTTGCCCTTCTTTTGTCCTCTTGGTGTGTTCGTTTTGCTTTCCTTCCCTCATCCGTTTGTCCTCTGTTGTCCTCCTCTGGTCTTTCTGTTGTCCTGCTGGTGTCCTGCTGTTTGCCACACAACAATAGTTCTTGCTGGCTAAGCTGTTTGAGGTTTGTTTCCCTATCCTCCCATGTTACATGGACATCCAAAGGAGGCAATATATATTACACAATGAAAAATTGTTTCTTTCAAGAGTCTAAGGCTAAGGGTTTGAACGGGGCTTGGGTGTTGAAGCTTGCTTCATACTTGTCGCACATCTTGAATAGGTTTCGCGGCTTGGCCACTTTGGCCTATTCTGTGTTGTCTAGGTACCACCGCTTTGCTTCGTACCCACCTGGTCGACTCAGCCACGGTGCCCAAACGCTGTTCAGATGCTGGCTGGAAGCGTTGCGGGGCAGCGTCCTTTTGGTTTCTTGGCAGTTTCGATTGCTTGCCTGGCCAAGGAGACGCAGCTCTGCCTCCAGGTTGCCCAGGTGGGGTGTGCCATTGTGTTCTTGCGCTGAGCGCAGTGTCATAACTTCATTCACGCTTGCATTGAGCTTGCGGTTGCAAGTTTTATGTTCACGAAAATTCACTAAAACGTCCCACCGGGCCGTTTTGGCTCAAGTTGGGTGGCAACCTCGTTTGAGTTGCTAACGGTGATCTTGTGAAACTCGTGATCCTTAGGTTTTTCATCGACGACGCGCATCGCTATGGCGCATCCTTTGGAATCCGAGTACGTGACACTTGAGACATTCACCGAAGCTCAACCAGCCGACGGGGCTGAGGACACGGCTACAGTCAGTAGCCCTGACATGGATCGACTCAGTCAACCAGGAGGCGGACGTGGCGTCCACAGCACTCCGCCATGCTGAAGATGAGGCGTCAGTGGGCCTCTCCTTTTTGGCAAACCTGTCATTGTGGAGGACCTTGACACGCAAGCCCAGATCCGGGACCTCGCCCGGCACATGGATGAATTGAGGGTGCAATTCCAGAACATCGAAGACGCCAACAAGGGCACGGACGTGCCAATGCCGGACACCGCAGCGCCAGAGGCCCCCTCGGAGCAAAGGCCGACCATCGAAGGGCAAGCCCAAGGGACAGTGGCCGGATGCCTGGGCCTTCAAAGACCCGAAAGGAAAAGCTTTCTGCAGGGACTACCACCTGACAGGCGCATGTCCCGGGAGCTGTGGACGCTCGCGCAACCAGTGAGGCACGAACCGAGGACAGACCACTTTCTCCAGGTTCGGAGCTTAGCCCTGGCCCCAGAACTGAGGCCCAGCCAGGCCCCACGGGCCCGGATCACCTGGATGCACGACATACCCAACAGACTTCTGCACCGACTCCACTGGCGCCCAACACCACTTCCACCTGACACCAAACCCACCATAAAGATGATGCGGGGTTTCTGGACTCCTACCTCCATGCCGTCTGCCAGACCTCTCCCCTTTGGTTTGGGCGGTGGAGGATGCCGGGACTAGGTCAGGACATCCTCAAACCTGACCTTTGGAACAGGCTCTCCAGCATGGCCGCGGCCGGCCTGTTACTCTTTGTGGGATGCCATACTTGGAGCATCCTGCGTTGGTTCCCCAAACCAGGGGCACCCAGGCCTGTCCAGGGCCGCAGTGAACAACAAGTCTGCGGCCTCCGACTGAGGAACAAGTGACGCATTAAAGTCCTGCCCCAAGATTGGCGGTCGCCCAACTTGAGGACGAATGGTGGGTAAACAAAGTGGGCACCTACGGCGTGGCCAGTGCCCAGCTCTATTGGGGCAGGATGGCGGCCCTCCTACTGCGACTCCTCTATTACATCTTCCCACAAGTGGACTGGGGCTTTGTGTTTGTGGACGACTTCTGCTGGTTGCTCCGCCTTCCTACGGGAACGGCCTTCACCGCGGCGCTCCTGGGCACCTTACTTGCACCGCTGAGCTGGAAGAAGACTCACTTGGCGGAGATCAACACCTGGTTGGGATTTGTGATCCACCCCTCAATCCCACGGGCCCAAATGGCAGCCCCCAAGCACGTCAAAGTCGCGGCTGTCCTGGAGGACTTGATCAACGGGGTGGCGATGTCGGCCAAGGCCATTGAGGAAGCCACGCATCCAGTGGGCCACAACCTGTTGCCCACTACTAACCAAATCCATGCTGCAGCCCTTCTGGGCCTGGAAGATGGCCGTACAAACAATGGGACACCCACCCAAGGTGGTGGTCCGCATGTTGGCTTACCTCCTGAAGTCGAGCAGCGCTCCCCCTTCCTACCAAAATCTCCGTGGTGGGGATGCAGCGATGCTAGTGCTTCAGCCCAAGGTGACGCCTATGTGGGGGGATGGAGTAGCAATGACCCCCATCCCTCCAAGGCGGAAGTTTTCTGATTCCACTACCAGATCAAACCTGCCGATCATCCATGGGCCTTCAAAGATGGCAACCCCCAGAAGCGAATCGTGGCACTTGAGCTGTTGGGCACCTTGCTCACGTGCAAACACCTGATTGCGCAACAGGGCACGACGTTGGGCAGAGTCCGACTATACCTGTAGGCAGTGACAACTCGGGCAACATCTTCAGCCTACTGAACCTCTCGTCCAAGAAACCACACACTCCTGATGCTGACTCTTCACCGTGAGGGCTGCAATTTGGCTCCTAGCCACATACCCCGGGAATTCAACACCTGGGCGGATGAATTGACACATCCGGACTTTCAAGGATTTTCATCGGAGCGCCGGCTACCGGCTCCGAACAATCTGTTTTCTTTTTCCATTGGCGACTCGTCTTCTGTCGAGTACGAACTCCTCCAAGCGTCCCACCCAAGATCTCGTGACCGGAACTGGTGGGAGTCCTCCTGACCCCAGGCCCCTGGTCTTGTCAGGGTCGAGCGGGTGAGTGAAACTGCCTGCCACACCCTTGATTTAAAACGTAGAACGGTCACAACACACCTCTGGGGTCTGGGGAGGACCCACGCACCTCTCAAAGCAACACAACAAAAGGCTGCTTGCTGCTTTTGTTGCTTAGGGATGTTTTTGATTATTGGGTACATTGAGAGATATCGTAGCGAGAAAGTCTTCTTGCAAAGTTGTAAGGAGGATTGAGGCTAGTGACTCGAAGATTGATGCTTCCTTCTGTTGGCGAAAGTGGCTTCCCAAATCCGTCAACTGCATGGGAAGATTTGCAACTGCCATTCCACTTCTTAGTTCTAGTCCAATGAAACAAAATTTTGGGAGGAATATAGCCGGGTTAGGGCCTGGCTTCTGATACCTGAGGCGGGCAGAGCCAGAGGCTGATCTCACACAGGCTCCAGTGGGAGGGGAGATGCTTTCTAGGTGGATTGCCAGGTGCGCGTTGCGCGCGGAAGAGGTCAAGAGGTTGTAAACGATGTGTGGCGCACTACCTGAAAAGAGGAACCGCAACTACAGCAAGTTCACGGCTGAAGCAGACTGGCGACCGCAGAGTTTTCGGTGGCTGTTCAAGTCAGTTCACTGCAATTAACAGCCAGCGTGCCCAGGAAGGGCTGGACGAAGATAGGCAAGAGAGGCACGCAAAGAGATCTGAAACTCATTCAGATCAGGGGCCGCGATGGCCCTCCAGACGTTTGAGTCACATGTATAGAACTTGTATTCGGACATCGTACATATCTACATGCGTCTATGCATGTATGCATGTATGTATGTATGCATGCGTGCGTGGATGTATGTAGTGTAATGTAATGTGATGTAATGTAATGTAATGTAATTAATGTAATTAATGCAATGCAATGCAATACAACGCAATGCATGTATGTATGCATGTATGCATACTGAATCCAGCCAGCATCCTTGTGACGGATGGCATGTAGGTAGATGTGTTGGTCACTATGCTGCCAACTCGCTGGTGAGGTGGTACCATATCATCATGTGTGAATTGGTTGGTGAAGTGTGTTGTTCCTGTGCTATTGGTGATGTGCCACATAGTCAGCGTGGGTGAAGTGGTAGTGGGCGGGTCCTTGTGCTGCTTGGTGAGGTGGTATGTCTTCATTTCTCTGTTGATGTTGTGCGCATGGTGAGGTGGTATGTAATTAATATTGATCTTGCGCTGCTGGCGAGGTGGCATGTTTTGATTTCTTTGTTCTTGTGCTATTGGTGAGGTGGTAAGTAAAGCGGTAGGGTATTTAACTCTTGCGCCGCTGCATGAAGACGTGGTATGTCATTTGTAGTTGTGGCTGGCAATTTAGAAATAGGGTTTTGTGCTGCTGGTGAGGCGGTGTGTCTTCATTTCTTGTGCCTGGCAGTAGTAGTGCAGTGCACCCTGCATTTTCAACTAACTGGATTACATATTTAAATTGGAGAACATGCAATTAGACTAGACTGTGCACCTACCAGATTGCCAGTTTGTGTCGTTTGGACTCTGGACTAGAGTTGGACTCTTTCACTGGCTCGCTCGTGCACCTCTACCAATTGGTTCAGATAAGCCGAGAATGGTGTTTTTTGGTATAGAGTGTCATGCTCAGACTCTCAGAGTTGGTCATAATTGATCAAGAGTGAAGGGGTTTGATTACCGCTGAATATTTTTGGGTTGTTGGATACAGTTGGTCAACAGTAACACACACGTATATATATATATATAAGCCAAGCATATGTATGTATGAACATAATTCGATGTATGAACGTAACATATGTATGTTCATCTTACTTTCGGGCGGTGTATGAGTCTTGAAACGCAGACTTGAAGCAAGCCATGGCTAAGCCATGTATGCATTGATGCTCGAGTCTGATTCAGACTCAGACACGGTGGCATGGGCAAAAGATCGCATTTTACAAGAAGATGTGCAAAAGACATTGACGATGGTGTCAATGTGATCTGGAGCCTATCCTGCTCATCTGGATGGTACACTAGGCTGACAGTGAGTGAAAGGGGTGGCAGGACATTCAGTGCAGGTTTTAAACCCCAATTCAAAACGGTGCGTGTGTTTGGTGATCGTGGGGGCGTGCGCGGTGTAATGAGTCACTCCGTTTTGCCTCTGGGTTTTGGGTTTGAGAGATCACATGCTGGAAGATAGTTTCAGTCTACATTTTCGGGATGACCATGGAAAGGATCAACGCACAACTTTGGATGACATTGAGAAAGAGTTTGGATTGTGCCCAGCGCAGGATCCAGTGTTGGCTTGCGTCCTCAGTCCCACTGACGTTTGGCGCTTTCAATTCTCTGGGCAATGACGGCCAGACAAGTCGGACAAAGTCAAAAAGGCTCAATTATCCCAACCTCAGCTTGGCAGTGCTTCTTTCTGCTGGTTCAGGCTCAGACATGCAGCAGCAACAGCCGAATCATGTTGCGCCAGGTGATTCTTCTGCCCAGGTGGATCAAGAAACCAAGACCCAGGCGACCCAAGGTGAAATTCAGACTTTATCGCGCCGCATGCACTAAGGGCTTGGTGTATTGAAAGACCTCAAAGCTTGCCAATTGATACCAGCATCAGAGAAGGAACGTGGTGAGACAGTTGCAAACTTATGGACGCGCATTTCAGATTTGCAACAGTCCCTGTCAACGCTTGAGAGTTTTTGACGCCAACAATTGGACAGCGTAAGTTGACGGGGGGGGCTTGGCATGGGACTCTTTGCATCTTTTGGACACGGTGCTTTTGTGTGATAGTTTGAAAGAACCAGTTGCTTGGCAAAGCTTGAGCTGGCTTGACTAAACTGCTGAGATGCTACTTGTGTTTGTTATACTAATGTTTTTTCATTTCAAGTTTTACCATGCAAGTGTTTTCACTTCAAGTTTTTCCATTTCAGTTTTACAATTTTTGGTCCTTGCCTTGCAGTAGTGGTAGGCTTTTGCTTTGTTGGCGCCATCATGGCAACTACTTGTGACTTGTTCTGTGTGGGTGTGCCAATGATGCTTATATGCCAGAGGGAATTGACAGGGCCCCCGGTGGAAGATGCGGCCACAATTGTTGGACCATATGAGAATTGACAACTCAAGGTTGCCATCTCGAAGCGTCGTTTATGATGCAAGGGTTAACATGGACATGGCATCAAGGAGCTGAATCTGCATTGTGGCTTACACCTCAGCCTGGCAATGGGGTTTACTTTCTCGGTTTCGTATGTTCAAAAGGAACATGTGTGTCAGAGCCCATTTACATCAAGTGAAATGCTCAAAAGGCGCATGTGAACGTGAAAAGTGAACAGTCAGTGTTGGACACGACCAAAATTGTCAGCAGTTAGATGGAAAAATAATCATTCGCTCTCTTGTTTGTGCTTGCGTGTAACTGTGGGTGCTGTAAAATCGCTGTGGTTTTAGATGTGAGTAATGCGGTGAAACTGTGGAACTCTTGTTCTTTTTGACATTTTTTCGCCTAATTGGAAAACACATTACAGGAAAATCAAAGTATGCGTGAAACATTTTCTGCATTAAAACCAGCTACACCAAAATTTCACTAGGATACCTACCTGGACTCAGTATGTATGTATGTATGTATGTATGTATGTATGTACGTATGTATGTATGTATGTATGTACGTATGTATGTGTGTAATGTAATGTGATGTGATGTGATGTGATGTGATGTAGTGTATGTATTTAATCAATGTATGTAATTCATGTATGTAATTAATGTATGTAATTCATGTATGTAATTCATGTCTGTCTGTCTGTCTGTCTGTCTGTCTGTCTGTGTCTGTCTGTCGCACACCACTCACCACACACCACTCGTCTCATTCACTTTATCGTCCAGTATCTTTCGGTCCTCTTTCTTTATCAGTCTCTACTTCTCACTTCTTATAAGCTCAACATGTGGGGTTATCCGGTCCTTTTACTTTTTTGTTTTTTTTGCCTTGTTTGGAACTCGTTTGTCTTGCTTTTCAAGCTTGGGACGACAGCTGTTTGGACCCTTGCCAACCAGGTGGTGGAACGAGGACTCGGCCTCTTTAGCCGAGAAGTTGCAGGAACAGCTCGTGAAGTTCGCAGATCAGAGCAGTCTATATATATATACTTATATATATATAATTGATTTCTATAAAACTTAGGAATTCTAGCTGCTAGCTAAAGGGAGAAGTAGCAATACCTGTGTGGGGTGTAGATGAGTGTTGAGATGCCTAGAGTGTCACGTCTTCAAGTTGCTGGATACGATTTGACTTTTCAAAGGATTGTCTAGGCACAAGAATAGCTATATAGGTTTTTTGGTCTGTAGATTTTTCCGAACTGCTAGGTTGAGGAGACCACTGATGCTTTGACCAAGTTGCGAAGGCCCTTCTGCCTTAGTTTGCAATGACATGAGATGTTGGTTTCGTGCGGTTGCTCTTAGTTACAACCAGAACCCCCCTTGCCAATGTGCCATTTGGAGGATTTGAACCTGCCCACAAACAAAAGAGGGTGCTCCAAGTCTGAGCATTGAGGCAGAACTTTTGTGTGAAAGACATCATTGAATGTGGTAGGCGCTGGTTCAGCAGGGTGTACGAAGTATACGACAGATCGTTTAAAAGAGAACAGTATGGGGCATTCGCATGCCGCGGTCCGCGGTCCATGTGATCTGAAGATTCAGATCCACCCAATTCTGCCCAATTCTCTATTCTGAGGTGGCTGACAAGACTCACCATCCTTGTGTTGCATCCTGATTAGTCAGGAAAATGTCCCTCGAGGAGCAAGCCTTCGATCAAGAAATTGAGGATGTGAGCTCCTCAGAGGTCTCACACAAACTTGTCCACAATTAGTTGACCCTTAACAAGTTCTTTCTTCCTTGCTCCTAGTAGCGAGACATTGCTCCTAGTAGTACGGCCAGGAGCCCCTAGTAGCTTCTTGTTGACCCTTACAAGTTCTTTCTTCAAAGAAAATAACAATGGTTTGGTGATCAACATTCTCTTGGAGAATGCTTCATGCCAAATAGATAGACAGGCAGAGCTCCTTTACTTTTGGCCTGCCCTTTGCACAAAATGACATGGACCTACAAGTCGCAATCTGCATGAGATGCGAGTGATGTACTGGTTTGTACTACGGACATCAATAGGCAATAGGTATCAAAGAGTTTTCCTTTTCTTCACCACATGCCCGAAACGTGAATTTCGACAATGCTTGATATCGCACAATTCCTTTATTTGCTGCTAAGCTTGTTCTTCCTCTCTTTGCGAGGTGGTCATCGCTGGCAAGCGAGCTTTGCTGAAGACTGGGTCCAAAAAGTTGTGAAGTACTCGACTACGCAATGAGATTTCACCATTATGGCTTTTCGAACATAAACGCAATACTCAAGCATGCATTTGGCAAGCATTGGGAGAACCAACGAGTTTCAGCACCACCAGCATTGCATGGCCTCCGGCTTAGGCTTCGAATGCAGCGTGCTGTTGAGATGCCCGGGTGCGCACCTGTCTTTCTCTGAAAGTATATCTCTCCCTCTAAGAAATTGGCAAGACATGCCATGACAGAGTCATGACACAGTCACGCGTTGCCACAGTGACGAGGATCTTCTTTTTGACAGCAGAGCACAGTAACAAGGATATCCTTTTAGCCAACGGGAGAGTTTCTGAGCGTACATCGCGGATCATCACGGTCTTCTTCTTACGTGCACACGCCCAATGTAAGGAAGCAAATCTTTTCTGCTCAGCATTCTATATAATCAGGCAAGAGCGAAGCATCATCATGTGCTTTTTCGAAGTGCGACGGCATGACTTGGCGGTGCCAGGATGAAAACCCACATGTTCAAAAAGATCAGAAGGCAGATCGCCAGGGCTTTGACTATGAGGCACGATCTGGCCCACGCTGCAGAAGTATTTGCATGCTTTATAATCACTTGTGAAATAGCGTGGAATGCCTCATTGATGTGTGCTGAGTGTACCACTTGTCCGCGTCTGTGGATATGTGTTTGCATATGTGCGGATACGGACATGGATGAGTTGGTGCGAATGTTCTGACAGGTGTTACATGCACGTGGTTTTGGACATGACACTTGAACGAACAAAAACATATATATATATATATATGTGAGTCCTGACTGATAGACAGGCTTGATTTGGCCTTGGATCAGGATGTGGGATGCAACTGTTATATGATGCTTTTCTAGCATGCGCAAGAGCTAGAACAGACAAACACGTGATCAGCAGCAACCACCGTGTATACACACGTGTGGGTACACAAGCTTGCACAGTAGCTTCAAAGCAAAGCATCGCTCAGTTGCTTTTGTCTCTTGGAGCTGCTGTCTCTCTGTGCTCCAGAAGGGACTTTCACTTTGTCACTTTGTCAAGATGCGTCCGTGTTCATCGATGGAGTAAATTGGGGTACTTGTTGCCACTGAAGTTCTCTTGTGTTCGGTTTGATTACTTGTCTCCGAGCTTGTTCGGTTTGATTCGGCTTGTTTGATAAATTATCACTTTTGGGGTGCGAACCGCACAAGGACAGCACTAGTCACTAGACTCAGACTCGGTCATTACTCCCGAACATGCAGTGTGGGTTTGCTGCTGTGGCACTTTCCCTCCTAACCTAGATTTGAGGCCGGTGGTTCTTGCAATGACATGGTGCAATGAAATTGGCCAGGCGCCAGCGTGAGATTGCACGGGGCATTACTCAAGAGCAAAGCCGGCGCATGCGCCGCCGCAGACGCTTAGAGCTGAAGGTGAAGTATGAGGCCTGGGTGTGGCAAGAAGATGAATCATTGGAAACTTAGACCGTTGATGGCCAATCCGGCGAAAAGAACTTTTCTGCCAAAAAACATCTTTCCAAAACGGTAATGATTAGAAAGATTTTGAGGCTTCAACCTCACAACCAGTGCTCAGTTGCTGAATTTGCAGCAGATGGACGGTAGTTCTGGACATCTCAGACTTCTTCCTGCAAGTTTGCTAAGACAAAAACCCAATACGGCTTGACCTGCTACATTTGCGAGGATGCTTATGGTGGCGAGCGAAAAGGTCCGAAGCCGGGCCCTTTGAGTTTGGACTTCATGACAGCCCACCAGAAGCACATTGCCATCAGCCTCAGCCACCCCCAACTCGAGGTTGGCATTTCCGCTTTTAAAGAGACCAAAACCTGTTGTATTGCATACATCCAGACTGCGAGTACAGAATGGTTACCTAGAATGAAATCCTCATGTCTTTATGGCGCGCCCATATGCGCATCCAAGGTCCCGCCGTTGGCTGCGCCGCATGGGGCGCATTGTCGGGGTGCTTGTGCCGGAAGCATCACCCAATCATGCTTCAGTGATTTTCTTGAACGAACACCAAAGAACAAGACATGGGACCATTGGGACAAGATGGAAACCCACACAAATGAAGAGAACGTTCTCAATTTGGTCACATGTGCATTTTGTTGCCGTGGGCGGGTTGCTTCTTCGAGCCAAGCAATATACCAGCTGACACGAGGGGGCTTGCTCCAAGGTCTGATGAAGCGGTAAGAGTACTGTGGCTCTGTGCCGGCTGTGGGTCTGAGTCAGCTTATTGCTGTGACATCCAATACATGTGGCCCTTGATCTCTAAGTTGACATGCCCACTGGCCAAAACCTTCGGCTGGCAATTAAATGAGCCGTGTGCATATCAAATCGGCCTGGATTTTGTCCTGTGTGCAGCACAAGCACCCAACGCCATATTGGTTGAGGAAACTACCTGTTCAATCCCAACGGCATGAATTTCACTTGTAATTATACAGACTACAAAGTCTTCTGCAAGGACTGGTTCTTCCACATGAACATCATTGTTAAAGCCGTCGATCATTCGACTCGATGTGAACGAAGAGGGTGAGTCCTTCAGAGCGCTGGGTATTTGTTGAGGCATACAGGATGAAGTCTGTCTCAAGATGACGAAATGCACAGTGGTGAAAAAGCGCGAGTGCTGAGGAGCCTTGTGTTTTGGGTCTAACGGAAGGACTGCAACCTCCACTGATGCGGACTTGAAAGTTCTTGGCGCCAGCAAGGGAGCCCTGCAATGCAACTCAATGCTTCCCGGATCAATTATCCGAACCGAAATCAAACGCATGGACGCACTAGTAGCTCCAAGGTGTGCTTGCTGCTTTTCTTTCACCCTTGCTTGCCCCGGAGAACGGGAAACTGTGATGGCGCTGGCCTGGGCACAATGGGTGCTCAGTGCTTCTCAATTATGACAAGTCAAGGGAGGCGAGACATGATCAGCGAGTCAGCTTGAATAGCTAGGGTTCAATCAACCACCATTGAGCTGCACAAGGATTTCAGCAATTTTCAGATGGGTGGCAATCCACGCTTTGCTGCCTCACGTTGCGGATCAAAGCGCTGGGTCTGTCCAGTTGCAACCGCAGGCTCGACATGAAGGCATCCCAACCACTGTCAGTGCACTGAGACGGCGACAAGGGAGCTCCCTACTTTCCACCGTTCCACCTGTTTGATTTTTGCCAAAATCTGCCTTTGAAAAGAAGGATGACCCCGCCTCTCTCAAAGGTGGGGCTTGCCCACAGTTATCCTGAAGGGGGAACAAACATGGCCCAGTGTTTGAGAAACCAGCTGCTGCCCAAACATGGCAGGGCACACAAGGGCCCAAGCGCAACATGCCTTTCAGTGAAGTCTGCGTCCATGCTTCCGTGTGTTGAGCGGTAGGAGTTTACGAGAAGGTCCTCGCATCCAAACGCAAATGCTCTTGAGCTTCAACTGCGAAATTCAAAACGATTCAAGCCGTAGCAGCGTAAGGGCGTGTGGCCGTAGCAGAGGTGGGAGATACCCGTCAGCATCCCCTGGCCGTGTAGACAAAATGAACCATACGTCTGAAACAGCACCACGCCCATGTGTCACAAGGCAGGCAGGTGGGCGGGCAGGCAGCAAGGCAAGGCACGGCAAGAAGGCAGGCGAGGCAAGGCACGGCAAGGCAGGCAGGAAGGAACGAAGCCATGCGTCAAATGGTTTGAGGAAAGCACGCCTTTGCAAATTGCAAACTTTCACCTGCTGACAGTCCGGTTGGCTGGGGCGAAGAAGGAAAGATCAACCTGCTTCGGCGTAGGTGTGGTCTGTGGTTCGCTCAGATCAATGCTGAGTCTGGGGGCTCCCATGCGCTCCCCTTCGTCAACTCACATGGCTCACGGCTGAGTAAAGTGAGGATGCGCCTTGGCTTTTGTTCGACGTCGTGCAACCATACTGTACCATACTTCTGCGCAACCCTGTACTTCTTTCACGGTCAGAACGCGTCATTTCAGTCGCCGGGCTGATGTGATTTGTGAGGATGCCCAAAACATGGACGTGTGAGGTGAGACATTTCCTCGAGTTTTCTTTGCCCTTAGCCATTTATTTAAAGGACACATGCAAAAGTGGAACTTGTTAACTTTCTGCGAACGCAAATGCGTGGAGCTTTTTGTTCTGCGAAAGCTCGCAAAAGCGCCCTGCGCAGCCTTCCACTTTTTTAGCTGCGAAAGTAAACCGCGAAAGCAACACATGTATACATATATATATATATATACAGTGAAGATATTCACACTTGCATAGAGCTTGCGGTTGCAAGTTTTGTGTTCACAAAAATGTCCCGGGGGGCTCAAGGTTGGAGGCAACACAGTTGCCTACAGGTTTTTGAAAAACTCACGCCCATAGGTCTTCTTTCAGGGAACATCGCCATGGCACACCCTATGGAAGCAGAGTACATGATGCTTGAGACCTTTACTGAGGCCCAGCCTGGAGCGGCTGTGGACCCCGAGCTGGACGCTGAGGTGGGCTACCGTGGACAGCCCCAATTTTGCGCAGCTCAATGAGGAGGCGGATGCGGCCTCCTTGGCCCTCGAGGGTGAGGCGGCTCATGGCCTTGCCAGCTTTGGGACTCCCGTCCTGGTGGAAGAACAAGGCTCTATCCCAGCACATGGAGGACTTGCGGGTCCAAGTATGCGGACCTGGAAGATGCCAACAAGGGCACGGCCCTGCCCATGGCGAGCGCAGACACCATGGCTGAGGCCGCCTCGGCACCTGGCGCTGTCGGGGGGCCTCCGGCCCCTACGGCAGTTGATGCCTCGATGATCCTGATGCATCGATGGCAGACTTGGCCGAGGGTCCGGTGGCGTGGCCGATCTCTGTGGAACCTTGATGTACCTTCCATGGACATGGAGGCCGCGTCTGATTCGGGTTTAGGTTTTGTGCCCCCCCCACAGGTGGGGTATGGGACGGACAACCCCGCAGCCATGGCCGCTGACGCCCCTTGGCAGCAGCCTGAGCCGCCGAGACCAAAAGGCAGATGGCAACACAACTGAACGTGGGCCGGCCAGCAGCCCACGCGCCCCCCTGAAATCACAAAGGGCCCGATGGCCGCAGGAACCTTGAGGAAGCTTATGCCCATCGCTACCAGTGCTTCAAGCCCAAGTTGGAATCCCAAGGGAGTGATGCCTACCTGAAGAGGCAGTTCGGGAGAGGTAGGCTACATCCAGTCCAAACACATTGTCGGGGCCCTCCCACACGATGGGGAACGCCCCATCAAGACCACCCGCAAGGTCTAGAGGAGACCCGGGCGGACCCCCGCACCCGGCGACAACTGGAACGAATGTGCAACAACCCTGCTGATGTGCATTGCTGGCCAACCCCAGTTCGCCCACCTTCACATCACTAACGCACTGGATGAATGGTATGATTGTTTCTATGGGGAAGACATTGCAGGTCGCAAGCCCCCTCCCTCGGATCCGGTCCTCAACATTGCGCACTCAGCAAACTACGCCACGACCACCTGTTCTGGCAGCGGGAGGTGTATGAATACTGCAGCAACACCCCCAGCCCTCGCAAAAACAAGGGAAAGGGCAAAGGCCGAGGCAAGGGCTGGCCACCCATCTGGCAGTCTGCCAAAAGGAGAATGAAAGGTGAAAAAAACAACATAAAAGGACCGGATAACGCCGCAGAAAAGAAGAAGCGCTGAGCCTGAGGCCTGAGCCGCCTCAACAGCGGGTAGCCCCGCCGTCTTCCTGAACTTAGGCGTTTTTGCGGAAGTGCTTATAGTTTTAAAAGTTGGTTTTATTGTTTTTGTTTTTCCCGAAAGCATTGCGAAGGGTTCTTCCGGAAAATCCTTTGAACACTGACACTTCGACACTTACACTTAGACATTGACACTTTCACCACACTTGCAGGACAACATGAACGCTATACGTAGCCCTGTGTCAGTGGAAGAGCGAAAGCAGTGAAGTGCAAAGTATGCAATGCAAGTGTCAAAGTATGCAAGTGGAAGTATGCAAGTGTAAGTATGCAAGTGGTGAGTTGCAAGCATGCAATGAGTATGCAAGCATGTAATGAGTATGCAAGCATGCAATGAGTAGGCAAGTGTGAGTATGGAAAACTAGCACGGGAGATGTCCTAATGAAAAAACATTTCCCCACTTTATAAATTCTCTCTTAAAGGCGGAGTGCGGGACGAACAGCGTCAACCGAAAGTGCAACCCTCTGCGGAGATCGTG